AACTAAATTACAAAATTAAATAAATCATTTTATCAATCAACTAAACCAAAATTATTCGCTAATTACAAAATCAATTCATTGATAACCTATTCAATCTGATCCACATAAATCATTAAATATTTGTTATCGCCCTTTAAAATACTCTCTCCCAAATTTAATTGGTGACAATAGAAACAAAATAATTCTTTAGAGAATTTTTTGTTTTATCTTCTATCTGTTTTATTAAATTATTTTTATAAATAAATAAATGATTTAAACATGATTTTTTTATTTTTGTATTTTTTTTTTGTAATTGCATATTTTGATAATTCAGATCTCTTGATAAGTCAGACACCATGTCCAGCCATTTGTCCAACTTATTGAGTTTATCTATTTAATAAAGAATCTTATTTTATTTAATTGACTGATACATGCACATATATGTATATATTTTTACATGCAAATTTTGAGGTGGTGTTATATATATAGTCTGTGCAGTGCCACTTTTCTAAATGGTACTTTTTACAATACTCTTCACATATAAATTGCAGATCTTTTTTTGAAGTGTTTATTAAATGTGTAACCTCCATCTATCCATAAAAGGATTTTTAACTATGCTGTCTGTCGATCAAATAACAAAATTCATCTTTTTTAAAAAAAAATGCCGAGAAAAGAAAGAAGAAATAAAGAAAAAATAAGAAAATATCACCAAATAAGTGTTTATCACAAGAATGGTAGTGGTCGCCACTTGTCATCACTCAAGTTGTTCATTAACATTCTTAAATCATTATGATAAATTATCTGAACATTTACAGCCATCATTCTAGTCATTCATAAATTTTATTTAGAGTGGAAAATAATGTTGAAAAATATGAAGAATTCAGCAATGAGGTGATGATAATGATGATAATGATGATGATAATGACGATGATGAAAAAAATATGGACATTCTTGGTGCCGTGCCATGGCTGTTGATCATCAAATATATGTTACATCAATATAACAAATTATTATGTGCGGATTTTTTAGTATCTTTATCATATATTTCAACACAATATATTTTTTTGAAAACATGAATTATAAAAAGAAATTTCTATTAATTTATCAGTTGCGATGTAAATTTTTATGGTAAATTTAATAATAAATTGAATAACTTTAAACCATGATATCTTTTTTTTTATAATAAAATTAAACAAAACTTTTTATAGTTTTATTGTTTAAGTCTTCTATAATAAAGTTACAGAGAGCTTTTTTCCCTATCTCATTTGGTTATAAGGTTTTCCTATTAGCAATCTTTTTTCAATTTCTTTAGGATATAAAAAAAAATTTTTTTTTATTTAGCAAAAAAAAACTTTCTGTAATCTAAAAGTTTAATCTATTTAATATAATTTCCCTTAGTTTCATGTCTGTATCTCTTTATTTGAAGGTTCTGATACAATTTTTATTTATATAGTTTTTATATATATTCTTATTTTTTTCAAAAAAAAGTTTGTTATTGATTGGCATTATGTTACATCACCTAATTTTGATTTAATTAGGGCATCTCACACCCCAACCTGAGATGTCCTTATATATTACTATAATTTTTAGATGCTCCAAGTTTATGTAAAACAGTCCAGGTCAATAAAGAATGGAGAAATATTGTTGATAGTAATATGTTAGTTTGGAAGAAACATTTGTTTTCCAATGGTTTTATGTTAGAAAAAGAATTAGAAGAACAAGCAATTTCTGAAGATTGGTATATAATGATACCAGACCTAATAGTATCACCTCTTCCGTGTTCAGAAAACATCCCTACAAAGAGATATATCATCATCTCTATTTCATACAACAGATATGTTCCAATAATTATGAAAGTAATTCTGCATCCACTCCACCTTGGTGGGAATACTACTAGTTAAATGCTATTATATCTCTTGGTCAATGTGTGGTTAGAATTGAGCAAACAAACTGATTAGTAATTTCCTTTGGTCTTTACATTGTTTAATTTTTAATTAGCAAACAAATATTCACATTTGGCTTAATCAAATGTATATTATATTGACTACTATTTTTTTTTTTTAGTTCTATTGTAAATTTCACTTGGAAAATATTTTTTTATACATATTGTGAACAAAAACTCAATTTTTCTCTTATTTGTTTTGCCATTTAATTTTAAATCCAGTTTAATTCTAGTCATATTTTCCTTGGTAACCATTTGAATTAATTTTGTATTCATAAAAGATAGTGTAACTCGATAAGTCAGTTTTGGCCTAACTCAGCCAAAAAGTTCCATCCTTTTTTTTTTACTATTTAAAAAAATTCAATAAGTCAATTGATCTATATAAAGTCATGATAAGTGCTAAGTCGGTCAATCATTTAGCCCAAGTATAATTAAATGAATCATGCATGATAAATAGGTCTCATGTGATATTTCATTATGTGAAGGGTCATCATTACTATTTTAGTAATGTGTGATTAAATATTTTTTTTTGTAATATTTTGTAAAGAAACTATCTTTATTGTTCATTTTTTATAATTTAGAAGGAAGAGAGAATTCTCACTTGTGAACTACATTCAAGTTTTATTACCTCCATCAGTTATAATGCATCATCACACATCCATTTTTTCTTGTCAAGTAATTTTAAAAAGAGAACTTTTTTCGCTTTAATTATTTGATGATTTATCATGAATAATGCATTAATATTTTATTATCTCAGCAGTTGTATCATCGATTTTATCATAAATAATGCATTAATATAATATTATCTCATCAGTTATATCATCAAGAATTTAGAGAACATTCTTGTCTAATCACAAACAATACATCTGTATTCATTTATCTCATTTTTATACCATCATTTTTATTTATATCATCACTTATATCATTGATTATCTAATGTGAAAAAATACATTTATATTCCTATTAAATTTTATTATGTTCAGAAATATGTATAAAAAGATTGATTTTGCAAGGTAGATAAATAAAAAATCACGTGAAATTCGATAAGTCGGTCACAGGGGTCCATCCCGACATGACCGACTCGTCAAGTTTACGGAGTAATTTATTTAACTTATTATATTTATATTAATTAAATAAATCTAAATCTACGTAGGGTTCAAAATTTTGACCATATGGTAATTCTGGTAACACTTCCGCATAATGCTGGTTAATTTTGGACCCTACGTAGGTTTATGCAAGATTTATTTGATTGTAAGGATTGATTTTTTAAAAATAAAAAAAGGGATCATTGTTAAATCATTTTAATATTATTCAAATACAAACAGAAAAGAATGAGGCTTTTCTCCTACGGTTCATAGAGGCTTTGATTGCCTGGATTTAAAACATCGTTAATTATTACCTTTTTTATCCTATAATCAATTCAATTACTTCTTTATCATTAATATTAATTTTTATCGTTGTTGCTATTTTTATGGAAATATTGCTAAAAAAAAGAGGTAAAAAAAAGGCTTGTAATCGCGAGACTTACCAAATTTACAAAAAATTTAGTAATCACGAACGAGGCTTAGCTAAATGTTGGCACGATAACCAATTAATCTTCACTTGTAATCAATCATCTAACAAAAATACATAAGCGTATAATAACGAAATAAATATTAATATCAATAATTTTTTTCGACTAACACTAATGATGTCAAGCAGCATCCCATTCTTTGTATATGACAAGATCACGTGATAATTTGAGCTTAATCATAAAATTCATATAAAAAGAATTCGTAGAGTACATCAATTCGTTACCCGTACCCTTGAGCCAAAAAAGATGAATAAAAAAAATATATACTTAAAAATAACTAACTAAATAATTAAATATTTGATTAATTAAATTAAATATCTATATTAATAATTTTATTTAAAGCAAAATCTGAAAATAGATTCAGAACGCATGCCATCTAAAGCTGGATCAACAACATCACCCGAAAGAAAAGTTTGTCGGAAATAGGCTTTGTGTGTTTTCATTTCTTTCCATTTATGTAATCATTAATAACATTACATTCTTTCATTAGCTCATAATATTGTAACAAGTGAATTTTATGAATAATTTAATGAGATTATTAATAAACATTGAACTATCGTTTAATGAAATTTTTGTTAAAGAACAAATATGTGTTTATTATTAGGTGATAACATTTTTTAAGAAAAAAAAACAACCAAAAACAGTTGTTGAATGATGTATAATAAAATTCGACAGGCGTGTGAATTTTGCCATTAAAATTTTCACGTGACTAAATTAACTATTAAATGATTGTTATAAAAATTTTCTAGCATTGTAATAGTTAACCAGTTAAAGAATTTTTGCGCAGTAGTAGTGCCAACTCTAGGCTTAGCCGACAATTACATAAAAAAAATTTTTCAACAGTTTTTCGTAAGGGAAATTAGCAATTTGAATACAAAATTCGAATTCGAACAAAATTACTTGATAATAATAATTCAATAAAAATATTGACTTCCAAGGAATCACGTAAATAATAAAAATATTATAATGTATGTATAATTATTACCATACATGAAAATAAAGCTTACGTGAGAAAGTGGGAGAATTTAACTAATTAATTAGATTAATCAGTAGTTGATGCTTTGAAATGGAAAAGGAATTATTTTTGACTGAATGAAAGAATATTTAATGCCATTAATAATGTTTAATAATATTTTTTCAATAGGTCTTCATACGATCCGTATGTACCTAAGGAGGGCACTGCTGGTGGTCCGCCTTCAAAGACTGTAGAAATTCAAAAACAAATTGATCAGACAGTAGAAGTTATACGTGATAATATTAAATCTGTTGCCGGAAGGGGAGAGAAATTAGATAATTTACAAGATAAAACTGGTAATTTATGTTGGAAAGTAAAGATTCTATTAAATAATTTAGCAATGTCTTCTCACTATTTTTTTTTTTTGTAAATAGAAAATCTGTCAGAATCGGCAAAAGGATTTCATCTTTTCTCAAATGAAGTACGAAAAAAAATGTGGTGGAAAGATATGAAAATGAGAATCATTATTGCTGTTGTTATAATCATTTTATTATTGATTATTATTTGTAAGTAATATCAATTATTATAATAATACGGAGAAAATATTTATAACAAGAAACATATTAATCTTTTTTTTTTTGTAGTGCCAATTGTTCTCAATCAAAAACAATTCGTCCATCAATGAAAAATATATTTTCATGTCGATTTTATAAATAATAAAAAAATAATCAAAGAAATTGGACTTCATTATTACTATTATTGTTGTTGTTGTTTTTCTTTAATTTGAAAACGCATATTTTATTTCTTGTATATTATTTTAATATTGTATAAATATTTTTTTCTTTCATGATTAAATAATTTATTAACAAATAAATAAGAATATATTTCACTTGTAAAATAGTTAACTTGTTTGGTTCACAACTATGACGCCTGTTCGTGATCTATGTTTAGGCAACTTTCCTGATAAATCTTGATTGTTATTTCTGGCGTCAAAAAACCTTTTCCATAAAAATTTCCAAATCTATACACAATCATACCTGATAAATATTATTTATATTTTGCCAATCAATATATATATATTTATCAATCTTAACTGCCTTCTTGCGCATGCATTTTTGGGGGTGTATCAACAAATCTAATTAATGTTATCAATATGAGCGGATTTTTTATAGTGTTACCTGAAAATTTCATGGTGGAATTTTTTTTCACAACTGGTATTTATTACCCGCAAAAATCTCTATACATTCAAACTAGATATATTATACTACAACATACTCGAAAATGAAAATGACATGGACTAGTAAGATTATGAAAATATGGATTTTTATTATTCTTGTTGCAATATGATGATTTTAGTGTTTTTTAGTCACGATTTTTTCACAACTGGTATTTATTACCTGAAAAAATCTCTC